TCTCATTGATCCATCTTCTCTTTAAAGAGGATGGGGGCAGCTACCTGGGATTTGGAAGGTTGGATGAACCCTCTGGCCAAATTGGTGTTGATGTATCCCTCAATTCAGTCATTTCTCTTGGAATACATCTTAGGTTTGGGTAGTTTAGCTCCTGGCACAAACTCCATGGTGCAGTCAGTGGGTCAGTGAGGTGGGAGGGCATTGCATTCTTTCTTGCTGGACACTTCTGCTAGGTTCCAATATTCCCTGGGGATCTGGGGGCTCCCTGCATCCACTTCTGCAGTGGCAGTGGCTTTTTCACCATTTTGAGGTTTGGCTATCTCTTCCCCTGCAGGATCAGGGTGGGGAGGGGCCCTAGTCCCAGCTTCACTTTCTCAGGAGATGGTGGGATACCATTTGTTCAGCCATACTAGTCCCAGGATTATTGATTTAAGCATTTTTGGCACCACTAAAAATTGGATGAGTTCCCAGTGGTGACCCATTTTTAAGCATACTGGCTTTGTCACCAGAGTGGCATGTGTCCACCCCCCCCCCCCACAATTAGCATCCCATCAACTTGTTCAAAGTGCATTGGGTTAGCTAGGTGCTACATCTGGATACCAAGCTTTTGGCAGAAGGGGAGGCTAATCAGGTACTGAGTACATCCCGTGTCTATGATGGTTTCTACTGTCCCTTGGGCTCCCATCCTGAGCACCACCAATCTTGATTTTATAGCAAAAGGAGGGATGGGTTTACTTACCATTGGGTCATCCTCACTTCCATCTCTGATGTCATCTGCTGTCAGCAGTGATACCTCTTGATCCAGAGTTCCCTCTCTCTCTGCAGAGTGTGTGTGGGAAACCTCAATGGCTTTGTGGGCTATTTTTTTTTCCTTCTGCAGATCTCCCCTGTGGCCTTTTGGGCTTTGCTGGTCCAGGAGCTCTTGACTGGGGAATGGGTGCTGGCTCCAGGCATTGTATGCGCAATGGGCTGGTTGCCTGCACAAAAAACACTTGATTGATGCTGTCGAGGCCCCTCTGGATGGCTCTTACACTCAGTGGGAGGAAGATCGCCAGCCAAGCTGCCTCTTCAGTTTTTTCTCTGATGCCTTTTTGTGGTGCTGGTGGATCTCAAGTTCCATGGACACTGCCATCTGGTATCAGTCGTGGATGCAATTGTGGACTCATCAGAAGACACAGGCATTGTGCAACTCCAAATCCAGACCCTCCTTTAAGCAGTGGACCAGGAGGCATTCTGGCCAATACCATAATTTCTCAGTGAGCCTCTGAAACTCAACAACATATTCTTTTGCTGGGTGGCCCCTTTGCCTAATCACTTTGATCTCTGCCTCTGCCTCATGGCCCTGAGCTGAGTCTTCGAACCTTATCCTTAATTCCTGCAGGAAGTCATAGATGTGCTTGAGCTCTGGGGTGCCCTCATTGTGGAGTTGGGTCACCCACTCTGATGCTTTGCCCTCTAGATTGTTCATAATGGCTGAGATCATCTCTTGGTTGGTGAGATAATCATCTTCTCAACTCATTAAACATTTCTATGCCTGTTTTAGTAGTTGCCATAAAAAAAGGGGAGGGGGAAGGAAATCTGGAAGAGCAGTGCAGTGAAAGCAAAAGTACATTCCAACTCTTATCTTTAAAAGATTTTAACTAAAATACCAGTTTTTGCTCCTGAATATATTTAATGGGAGAACGTGAATGATGACACCCAGCCTATGAATGTGCTCAATTGGAGAATCTGGTTTATGAGACACCCAGGGGAGGGGGGAAACAGAGTCACAGGAGACTGTAAATTACATATGTGAGAGTTGGCTTCTTACAGGGCAGTGCCAGTATGTCACCTCTAAAGAATCCTTTGAATTTTTTTGAAGTTTGGCTCGAGAATCATGATTTAATTAGAGTGATTGCTGGAATCCTAACTGCAAGCCAACTCTTATAATAAATCAATATTACCAGGGTCCTGGGTCCCAGCCTCTCCAATAGCTCCCTGACATCTGGGATGCATGGAGAGAAACTCAGGCAGCCATGGCAGAGAATTAAAGCTGGATGACAGCCCCCCTTGAATTCTGAAGTGGAGAAACCTGCTCCAGTGGAGGAAAGAAAACCAGATAATTACTAGTGGAAAAAGAAAATTCCTAAAGCCAGCTGAGATGGAGTTTCCCCACCCCCAGGCCCAAAAAGGGAGAAGGCCTTTGAGTGAACTAGGAAGATTGGATTGGATGTGGTACTGGGCACAGGCCAGGACTCCAAAGTCCCTGATGGGGAGACCCATGGAGCAACTGAGGGAGGAATCTGACCAGGTCACTATTCGGGATGATGGCCCATCATGCTGCCCAAAACAGAGGGGACAGTTTACAGAGCCCTTTGGAGTCAGGAGAAGCAGGTGAGACCACAGCCCTCCTTCTCTACCCACAAGAAGAAAAAGGAGTCCGAAGCTGCAGGCAGCCCCCTCCTCCTGTGCAATCAAGAGCTGGGGAAGAAGTCCAGCCACCTCGAGCACAGGCTTACAGAGGGCGACAGGAGGAAGGAGGAGCAGTGCTCAACAAACTGCTCTGGTTCAGGGGAAAATTTGATGGGGACCCAGACCAGCTAGCTCTATTCCTTGACTCAGCTGAGATCCACTTAGAATGCTATGGACATCTCTACCCCTCCCCTAGAGCCATGGTGAACACCATTTCTGAGGGGTTGAAGGGAGAAGCAAGAGGATGGCTAGAAACCCTCCACAAGAGAAGGGCCCCCCCAACTGCAGGACGTAGATGACTTCCTATGACTGCTAGAGACCAAATTTGAGGAGGCAGAGGAGGACCTCTATGTGGAAGATGAGCTCAGCAACCTAAAGCAGGGAGAGCGACCCATCAAGGAACATATCCATGAATTCAGGAGGATCAGTGGGAAGCTACTCCTTTTGCCTGAGTAGATGCTGGTTCATTTTTTCAGAACAAACCTAGACAAGCAAATTAGCCAAGTAACCGCCTATCAGGACATCCCAAACTGACTCTCTGAGTGGTTCTGAGTGGCCATAAAAGTCGATGGGGCATTATGCGCTAACAACATGAGAAAGCTGCTGGAAACCAAAGAGAGAGATCAGTCAGACCAGAGACCACCCAGCTGATGAGGAACCACAGCACCACAACCAGTCCTCAAACCAGTCCTCCTACGAAGCCCAATTAAATGCTACCGATGTGGGGGGATGGGTCACATGGCAGTGGCATGCATAACCCCAGGCCCAAAACCAAGGCAAGAACCACCACCCAGAGTATGACCAGAACAAGGCCCTGGGTGCACCACCAATGCATTCCAGAAAGACCTTCAGGCTGCAGAGATCCCTCCCTACCCAACCGCAAGAGGGGAGACCCCCAGACAATGGTGACTAGTTACCTGACTCTATGACAGTGAGGACAAGGGCAAAAATGACCCAATGGTGAGTGGACAGGTCCTCCCTTTTGTCTTCCCAATACAACTCACAGCCTCAAAAACAGGGATTATGGGGATTTTCCAAGCCCTAATAGATTCAGGCTGCATTAGGTGCTTGATCAACCTAACCATGGTCCTGAAATGGGATCAGAGTGAAAAGACTGGCGCACCCAATCCGGTTCGAACAGGTCAATGGGTTCCTATTGGGAGGGGCCCATGCCACTTACTTAACCGAATCACTGAGGCTAGAGCTAGCGGATCACTGGGAAACAATTTGATTTGCAGTGGCCCCCAAAATGGCAGATGCAGTCATACTGGGACTCTCCTGGCTAGATAAGTGGGGCCCAACCATTGGTGGCAGGTGGGCAGCCACAGACTGAAGATTTCAAAAGGATCTCAAACCCTTCCTCACCATCAAATAGAAGCAACGCCCACACAGGGAACTCTCCTAGAGGGCTCACCAGAACAACTGGCAGCCACCTCTGACAAAACCCCAGGGTCTGGACAGATCCTGAGAGAATATCAGGACCTCACGGAGGTATTCAGTGAGACTGAGTATGACATCCTACCTCCCCACTGTGAGACAGACTGCATCATAGAAATCATGGGGCAAAACTATCAAAGCCCAAAATGTATGCCATGACAGCCCAGGAAATGGAAGAAATGTGCAAATATACAGACAAAAACCTATCAAGGGGTTCATTGAGCCATCCAAGCCATGAGTTGCAGCCCCAGTCCTGTTCAAAGAGAAAAAAGATGGGACTATGAGATTATGCATCGACTTTAGAAGCATCAATGGCCTGTGTGTACAGAACCTAACCCCCCTCCCGCTCATGAAGGACATGTATCTCACCTGACCAAGGGAAAGGTATTTACCAAATTACAACTCAGAGAGGCATACTACTGGGTCTGCATCAGGGAGGGGGATGAATGGAAAACAGCATTCAACTGCCCCCTGGGGAGCTTCCAATTGAAAGTCATGCCTTTTGGACTAAAATGCCTCCTGGTGGAGTTTATGCAGCTAATAAATGAGGTGTTACATGAGCATCTCTCTATAAGGGGGTCCTTGTCTATTTGGGCAATATCCTCATTTACACTGAGACCATGGATGACCACATATTCCTAGTCCTCCAGGTACTGGAAAAACTTCTAGCAGCAAATCTGTATGTCAAGCTGTCAATGCTAGTTTCACCATGCACGGTTTGACTATCTGGACTACCGAATCTCCAGTGAGGGCATAGAAATGGACTCAGCCAAAGTACAGGCCATCCTAGGCTGGCAACCCCCTCACACCTGCAGACAGCTACAAAGCTTCTTAGAGTTTGCAAACTTCTACCGGTAATTCATCCCCTCCTTTGCAAGGATTACCAAACCCATGACTGACCTCCTAAAAACAGGGAGCCCTGGGATGAAACCTTGAGACAATCCCTACAGTGGGACCTAACCTGCCAAAAGACATTTGAAAGACTGAAGTAATTGTTTTAAAAAGAACCAGTGCTGAAGTATCCTGACCCCGAACAACCCTTCATCATCCAAGCAGACTCCAGCGACGTGGCAGTGGGAGCAGTGCTACTCCAAAAAAATAACCAAGGGAGCCTACACTTCCCGTAAGCTCATGGACACCAAGAGGCTGTGGGCTGCATGGGAAAAAGAAACTTTTATGGTGAGAAAGGCACTCCTAACCAGGTGCCACCTGCTGGAAGCTGGACAGAGGTCATTCAAAGTCTGGACCGACCATAAAAATCTGGAGGCCCTTAGGACTCCATGAAAATTATCACCCAAACAAGTCTCCTGGGCTCAATATTTCAACCGGTTCAACTTCAGGCTAAAGCACATTTCCAGAGGGGAGGAACTGTCTGGCTGACTCCCTCTCCCATATGCCCCAGTATAAATGCAAACAGGAAGAGGTAGTATATGCCATTATCCCCCCTACCTAAATAGCTGCCCAAGTAACAACCAGATGACAATGCCACAGCCGGCAAGACCAACCCACAAGCAACCTAAACATGAAACTCAAAAGCGAACTACTAGCAGACCCCTGGTTCAAGGACAATCAACACATCTTTTTTAAAAAATAAATTTTATTTGGGTTTTCACAAAACATAATACAAATAAAACATCTTTTTTGAGAATAGCATGATCCTGGGTTACCACTTCTCCATACAGACACAAACTCAATTTCATATTCGTCTTTGTGTTCTATTCCATATCTTATTACTTATTTAACATTTTCTCCATAATTTTTCCCCTCCCTTAGTTTTCTCAACTTTGTTTTTAATTATCATATATTACCTATCTAAATTCAATTATATATCTTTTTCTAAGTTTCAATGTCTTTCTAATCATTATATTTATACTTTTGTCTGTCCTATTTCATATTTTCTTTTCTCATTAAACAAGTTTTCCACTGTAGTTACTAATTGGAGTATGACACCTTTGTATCTTTTAATTTTGTCCATTCAACTCTTATTTAAACTTCAATTTATGCCTTTACAATTTATAACATTCAATATAACACATAACTTCCAATCGTATTCTGCTTGGTACATTCTTAAAATACACACTATGTTTTTAAAGAGAAAATATATAAATAACAATAGTAAATAAAACACTTATTCTATTCCAATTCAGCTCTATCATTAATATTAGTTACAATCTTTAACATCTTTAACATTTCTTATCAATTGAATATCATACTTCCTTAGGAACACTTATAATATTTCCATATTTTTTTCCCATATTTCTTTCATATTTCTCTTCACTTAAGTTTTTATAAATCATTAATAATAATTAAAATGTTCCCATCCTTTCAATTTCATTCTCTCTTTCTTATTTATTAACACACATTCCATTCCAATCCAGTAAGTATTTTATCTATCATTTAGTAAGTATTTTATCTATCATCTATCACTTGTTTCATATTTTCTACGTTTATTTCTATTTCTAATATAACAATGCTATCTTATGTACCCTTGCAGAATCCCTCTTTCGATTAAATTTCATCCATTACCTCTATGTCTTCTAAATAGGCTTATCCCTTTAATCCTTGTACATTTTCCCTGTTTCTCTATATCTTGTTTCTGTCCTTTATAACTTCTTTTCCTTTCCTTCTTCCCCCTCTTATTCTCCCTCCCCCTTTTGACCCCTTGTCTCTCTAATTCTAATTCTCTCTTCTGTAATCCACTCTTCTGTTTCTTCCTAGTATTGTAATTACTTTTCAAACTATTCTCTTTTTTTGGTTGTTTTTTCAAATCTTAAACTTTTCACTCTCTTTCCCCCCTTTCCTTTTTTTCCCCACTTAAAATTACTTGGTCATTAAAGATGGCTTCTTCTTTGTCCTGCCCCTCTTGTTCTACAAGCATTTCTTGTTGTTTCTCATAGTTCCAGATCTCCATTTCTAAAAATTGAAATATGAAGCTGTTGTGACTGGAAGGACAGATCCTGCTGGGAGTTTTGACTCTGATGACTGTTAGATCGTGGATTGATGCCAGAACTAGAAGAACCAGGAAATGTCAATCTGAAGGGAGGCATCAGGACAAACATTGATTGGAGCGAATGAGAAGGGCAAGTCAGTAAATTAGCACGTTGCCTTAATGAGTATAAAAGGACACCGCTGGGCTGGTACATTTCACCAGGAACAAAATGACTATTTGAGTGAGGACGTTATAGCAAAGAGCTCTGAGGCTGAAGATTTATTGCCAGGACTGGTTTGCCGGACAGAGTAAAGATTTATGCTGTGGTTTCTGCCAGCCGTTATCTTGTAAGACTTCTTTCCGTTTGATTTAATTGTGAAACGGCTGCTTTCTGTTTTGTTTGTTTGAATTTCGAAGGGGAGTCATAACATTATTGTTCCTGGCCCAAACAAACCATCTTTAAAGCAAGATGGATTCAAATCAACTGCAGTGTTTGGTAGAGCAGCAACAACAACAAATCAATCAGCTACAGCAAAGCAATGTGATGCTTCAGAATCAGGTAACACAATTGCTGAATTATGTTTCCAGCTTACCAAGCCCTGCTGCTGTTCCCCCTGCCCCTCCTGTGAGGAAAAGCCCAGTATCCATGCCGGAAAAATTTTCAGGACAAATGGACATGTTTCCGGCATTTCTGGGGCAGTGTCAATTATTTATGTCCTTGAGGCCTGAAGACTTTCCAAATGACTGGGCTAAGATAGGATTTATTATTAGTCTTTTGTCTGGGCAGGCTGCCAAATGGGCTACTCCCTTGTTAACTCAAGATAGCCCTTTACTGGATAATTTTCAGGGTTTTCTGCAACAAATGAGGGTTATGTTTGAAAACCCAATTAAAAGTCAAACTGTGGACAGACAGTTACAGGACATTAATCAGGGGAAACGTTCCCTGCAGGAATACGTTGCAGAATTTCGTTTGCTGTGTATGGACTCTAACTGGAATGAACCGGCTCATATGGCTGCATTCCAGGAAGGCTTGTCTGATGCCATCAAAGATGAGCTGGTCCATGCAGAGCGGGCTTTAACTTTGGATGCATTGATAGTTTAGTGCTTACGGATGGAAGCCCGTTTACAACAGCGCGGAAGCAGACGGCCCGTTGTGGAACCACCTTCTCTTTTTCGTTCACAAGCTATGGTTAAGACGGAGGAGCCGATGAAGTTGGGAGCACTCCGCCTTCTCTTAACGGCGCGAGAACGTTCGAGAAGGTTTCAGGAAGGCTTGTGCCTTTATTGCGGGGGTCTGGGATATTTTGTTAATTCCTGCAAATGGAGAGGGACCCGCAGACCCGTACCTGAAACCACTCTTGGCTCGTCGGGAAAACAGGGTAGACCTGACCTCAAGAAAACCCTAGGTCGGGCACGTTTCACATCTCCACCTCAAATTGCTGAAGCAAATCCTGGCCCTCCTCAGCATTTACTTTTGGACACTCGAATTTTTTTACAGTCACAGAAGGAGGGAATTCCCGCTGTTGCGTTGGTGGATTCAGGAGCTACAACCAGCTTTATGGACCGAGCTTTTGCTACGCACTATGAGATCCCATTGGTTGCTGTGGATCCACCCATTAAGGTGGAAACCGTGGATGGGCGTGAGCTCAAGTCTGGGCCCATTCGTTTCGCCACCCAGCCAGTGCGTATGATCATTGGGGATCATGAGGAGGCGATAAGTTTTTATATCACCTCGAACCTTCATCTCCCTTTGGTGCTCGGAATGTCCTGGTTGCGTTTGCACGATCCGTTGGTGGCTTGGTCACAGAACGCCATTTCTTTTCCAAGTCTCCAATGTGTAGACCATCTGAGACAATTGGAACGAGCGAAAGCAGATTATAAATGTTTCGCAGACCATTCGCGTCGAGCGACGCCTCCATTGGCTGTGGGTGACAGGGTATGGTTGTCAACGAAACATCTTCAAGTTGATCGTCAGACTCGGGGGAAGGGCCCTGCGGTGAGGGATAGTGTTGTGACTGGAAGGACCGATCCTGCTGGGAGTTTTGACTCTGATGACTGTTAGATCGTGGATTGACGCCAGAACTAGAAGAACCAGGAAACGTGAATCTGAAGGGAGGCGTCAGGACAAACATTGATTGGAGCGAATGAGAAGGGCAAGTCAGTAAATTAGCACGTTGCCTTAATGAGTATAAAAGGACACCGCTGGGCTGGTACATTTCGCCAGGAACAAAATGACTATTTGAGTGAGGACGTTATAGCAAAGAGCTCTGAGGCTGAAGATTTATTGCCAGGACTGGTTTGCCGGACAGAGTAAAGATTTATGCTGTGGTTTCTGCCAGCCGTTATCTTGTAAGACTTCTTTCCATTTGATTTAATTTTGAAACGGCTGCTTTCTGTTTTGTTTGTTTGAATTTCGAAGGGGAGTCATAACATGAAGCCTTCTTGTGCATCTTCTTTCTGTTTTTAAAATTCCATTTTCAGTTCTTCCAAGAGTGATGCCATTTTAAACACTTTTAAACAACCACACAATTGATTTTAGTCATTTAAATCCAATAACCAAAAATCCAACAATCACCAAGTAATCCAAATAATCCAAAGCTGTTTCTTCTTGCTTCTTTTTTGACTTTCTCTTCCTGGGGTTCTATTATCTTGTTACAAAGTTTCAGTTAGAATGTATCTTTTAGGAATCTTGTTGAAGTTTCACTGTAAATTCCTTTTACTTCCAGGCAGTCGCCTCCATTTTTCCAGATCCCGCCCTTTTATTTTTTCCTTTTCTCTCCTTTCCTTCTTTTAAAGGTTTTTGAATATCCCAAAGTCTTTGTTATCCATTTGACATTTTATTTTCAGCTTGAATGCCTATTGATATCAAAGTGTATTTTTGTCAGTTTCTTACTTATATCTCTTAGCTATCAATATGAGGAAGGAAAGAAAAAAAAGCCAAATCCTTTCCCTTCCCTCTCTCCTTTGCCACTTCAAAATCTTCTTTGGGAACAATGTTATTCTTAATAGTTCAAATTCTAGGGTACCTTATGTTATTGCTTTTTCAGTTCAACCTGGTCAACCAAAACTTTCTCTTCTTATCTTCTTCCTGAAATTCTTTTCCAGTCAAGTTCTTCTTTGAGGTGGCCATTTCTGACCACCACTGCAACCGCCTTCAGGAAAGGGAATAATGGCCAACTGGGGAGGAGAGATGTGGCTCTCCTTGACCCTGCTGGCAGTCTCCC